ACAGAATTTCCTCACGTCTTTTATTACAGATTGATAAATAGTGCTCCTATTTTACAATAAGAACGAATTATTTATCAAAAAGTAATCAAGAACTACCACCTAGAGGGTATCCTGCGACATTTAGGCTCAAGCTGTAAGAGGAAATTCCAATTAGTAGAGAAATTAATTTGAAAAATTACCTTGACGTTTCGGTAGCCATTTTCTGCTATCGTTATCAAAAGAACCTAAATGAACCTAAAAAAGAGTATGTTAATAAATTGTGTATTGTAGCAACTGAATACCTCTTCTTCCAAAAACCTTTTTTGAAAAGTTGTCAAAAAGGCCCAGAAGTTGACTGAAAACTGAAACTTTTTCCACAAATACAACGCACTTTTTCTTACAAAATGAACCCGAAACTGAATCTCCACCTTCACAGCAGCATTAATTATAATTTTATGTGTGTAAGGGACGTTTAGCCCGAACTATCCGATGGGATTTCCTTGCAAAAATCCTCACGGAGCATTAAGAGCAGTTGGCTTAAAGCCGAAAGTGGCGGGTTATTTCGAAGAACTCAAATCTAGTTGGGAATTGTATAAGTTTTCCATCGCGAAGAAGTCAAAGAATTATTTTGTGTGATTTTTGCACAGCTTTGACTCGATCCATTGAGGCGTTTCTTTGCTGGAAAACAATCTGACCTCTAAAAACACCCAAGCAAAATATAGATTTTTAGCAGAAATATTTGGACTTCGGGCACGATACTGGCAAACAAATCCATCTCATCTACAAAATCCACACATGAAACTCAAAAACTCTTGAAAACTGCCTGATGATGGTTGAAAATCGAGACTTTTGACTTGCTGCACTTGTCAGTTCCTGAGTAACTGAACACCAAACCTCTTCCAAAAACGATCCTGTTTGAGAAGTGGTCAAAAAGGGCCTGAAGTTATCTGAAAATTGAAACTTTTTCCACAAATAGAACGCACTTTTTCTTACAAAATAAACCAGAAACTGAATCTCCACCTTTACTGGTTTCAGAGCGATTAAATGCCAACCACAGACCTAAATAAGCAACTACATTGATCTACCGTAAATAAAAAAAATCGCAAAAATAGCTTATATATAACGCACTTTTTCTTACAAAATGAACCCGAAACTGAATCTCCACCTTCACTGATTTCTGAGCGATTAAATGCCAACCACAGGACTAAATAAGCAACTACATTGATCTACCGCAAATAAAAAAAATCGCGAAAATATCTTGATTTTGACCCAAAATCAAACCTTTTTTAGCTTGTCCAAGTTCTGAAGAAATAACTGTTGAACTCCGCTCTGCTCAAAATACAAACAAAATTTGAAAAATTGTCAAAAATCGCCTGAAGATTACCAACAGTCGAAACTTTGGCCACATACAGAAAAAACCTGCCGCTACCTAATGCATTCAACAGAGACTTTCTCACTTAGCAACTTGCCGAGAAATTTGTAAGAAAAACAGGACAAAACCCGAAATTCTATAAATTTTCCACAGCAAAGGAGCTAAACAAAGATTTTCAGCAGATTTTGAGCAGTTTTGACTGATTTCTAGGTCTCCTAAAATCTGAAAACCAGTAGACATAATTTGGTTTATTTCATGCAAAAATCTTCTTGGAACTTTAAGAGCATTGGATTAAAAGCCAACATTCCTGGAAAGTCAAAAGTTGCAGATTTTTTCGTGGAAACTCAAACATCGTATGGGATCATACTACTTTGATCGAAAAGGAGCTGAAGAAGGATTTTCAGTAGTTTTCAGGGAATTTTGACTGTTTCTTAGGTCAAAGGAAAACAACCAACTGAGCTCAAAAACGCCCATGTAAAATGTTGACTTTTAATAGACAAATCTGGAAATCAGTAGAATTAATTTGGTTTATTTCCTGCAAAAATTCTCTTGGAGCCTTAAGAGCAATTTATCCAAAGCCAACAGTCTGGAAAGTCAGAAGTTGCAAATTTTTTCCAAAAAACTCAAAAGAATTGGCGTCGTTTTAGAGCAATTTTGACCGATTCTTAGGTCAAAGGCAAGCAAACAACTGAGCTCAAAAACACACAATAAACTCTGGACTTTTAACAAAAAGATCTGGAAATCTATAGACTTGATCGGGTCCATTTGTTGCAAAAATCCTTATGCAACTTTAAGAGCAATGGATTCGAAGCCAATATTCGGGAAAAACAGAAGTTGCAGATTTTTTCGAAGGCACTCAAATATAGTTAGGAAGTCCATACAAGTTCCATCGCAAAGAAGCAACTGAAGAATTTTCAGTGATTTTTGAGCAGCTTTGATTCCTTCCAAAGAGGCAATTCTTAGGCCAAAAACATGTAAAGTGTGGATTTTTAATAGGCAAATTTTGTCCAAATTGTGAAGAAATAACTGTTGAACTGCGGCCTGCTCAAAATGCAAGCAAAATTTGAAAAAGTGTAAAAAATCGCCTGAAGATGACCGACAAATGCATTCAACGGCGACATTCTCACTTAGCAACTTGCCGATAAATTTGCAAGAGAAACGGGACAAAACCCGCGACGAGAGCCAGATCCCATATTGGAACATTTTGGGAAGCGTTTTCCCTAAAAAAATGCATACGAAAAACAGTGCTGGTTAGTTTTACCAGTTTTTTAATGGCCAAATAACTGCTTTTTGCACTCGCAACCTAAGTAAAATTTTGGAAACGAACTTATTCTGGAAAAGCGCCATTAAACCATAGAATACATTGAACTTAGAAGGCGTTTTTGCACCAGAAACCAGCGTTGTAAAGTTATTGATTGAAGCAACAGAAATCTGCTGGAGATTAACGCTGGCGTATCAAGCGCCAACAGAATAGGAAAAAATAACCGATCCATAATTAGCTGGATGGCTGGGTTTATCTCTATTCTCCCCCCAGCTAGTTGAGCCTATTTACCAAAGGCTCAATATGTACAAACAAGTTTGCCGGCAATGTTCCAGATAACTCGTGGCAATTTTGCCGCCAGCTGCTGGAAAATGCTTTACCCGATTCGATGGTCAATTTTCGAAAAATTTTATTCGCCATCGATTCTTTATCTCAAAAACTTTTATGCTCAAAAACGACTGAAAATCTATTTGAGTTTTTTGCAAAAATCTGCAACTCCTGACTTTCCAGGCTGTTGCAATTGCTCTTTAAAAATCAACAGTTTTTGGCCTAAGAATTGCCTCTTTGGAAGGAATCAAAGCTGCTCAAAAATCACTGAAAATTCTTCAGTTGCTTCTTTGCGATGGAACTGGTATGGACTTCCTAACTATATTTGAGTGTTTTGGAAAAAATCTGCAACTTCTGTTTTCCCGAATGTTGGCTTTGAATCAACTGCTCTTAAAGTTGCATGAGGATTTTTGCAACAAATGGACCCGATCAAGTCTATAGATTTCAAGATCTTTTTGTTAAAAGTCCATAGTTTCTTGTGTGTTTTTGAGCTCAGTTGTTTGCTCAAAAACGACTGCAAATTATTTCGAGTTTTTTTTGGAAAAAATCTTCAACTTCTGACTGTCCAGACTGTTGGCTTTGAATCAATTGCTCTTAAGGCTCCAAGAGGAACAATTGGAGGAAATTGCTTTTGCAGCAAATAAACCAAATTAATTCTGCTGATTTCTAGGTTTTTCTATTAACAGTCAACATTTTACCTGTGCGCTTTTGAGCTCAGTTGGTTGTTTTCCTTTGACCTACGAAACAGTCAAAATTGCTTGAAAACTACTAAAAATCATTCTTCAAATGCTGTTCGATCAAAGTGGTATACGATTTTTGAGTTTCTACGAAAAAACTGCGACTTCTGACTTTCCCGGATGTTGGTTTTTATTCAATTGCTCTTAAAGTTTCAAGCAGATTTTTGCATGAACTGAACCAAATTACTTCTACTGGCTTCCAGATTTTGGTCTTTTCACCTGGAAATCAGTCAAAGCTGCTCAAAAAGCTCATTTGCGATGGGAAATTTACAGAATTTTAAGCAAAATTTGAGTTTGATGGAAAAAATCTGCAGTTAACTTTGCAGAAGAAAGAATCAATTACTCTTAAGATTGCATGAGGAATTTCCCAGAAAATAAACTAGATAAAAAACTGGTGTATAGTTCAATTGCATGTATTCAATTGAGGCCGTCCATTAAAATTATTTCAGTTACACAGGGTGTTCCCGAAAATTCATGGCACATCGAACTCATGTTTTTTCAACTGGAACGCCCTGTATCAGTATGGTACAATTGGTTTTCATACAAAGAGGGATAAGTTTCCGATTAGTATGAGTCGATAAGATGAGAATCGCGATGATGATGATGATGATGATGGCACATGAAGCAGTGGCTGTACATGTAGAAAATTGGAAAGGCGATTTACAGCAGCGAATATTTCGATCTACAGATTCCTGAAGGAAGAGTCATGGCGCGCCCACTCCCGATGGCGGCAGTGGCGGCGGCTCCCTCTACGCTTGGAGGGCGGCAGTGTGTCAGGTGTCGGAGACGCGGGCGGACGTCGCATTGATACCAGCGTCGCGACGCAAGTGTTTTTTTTCCAAACGCAGCAGCGTCTCTCCGGAGAAACTGATCGGCATCCGAAATGCATCAGGACATCGGCGGCGGACACCCAGGCGAAATGTTGGCGACTCTCCAGCCTCCACGCTCATCCCGTTGAATGAGAAATGAGGAGGACGGGAGGCCGTTTATGACCTTTCGAAAGTTGCGGCTCCGAAAAGTTTCCGACGTGACTTGTGACAAGATGTGTGATCGACTCTAAATAGTTCACCTGCACTTTGCATATCAGGCGCAATAATTATCGCTCTTGTGGCCGTTTTTCCATCAGTTTTCCAGCAGCTCTAAGGTAATGAAGCGAGTGGCGTTTGTGCGCATTCACACTTTAAGGATATGTCTTTGATCGAACGGGAGTGGGGGTTGATGGACAGCTATTGGATAAGTGGCGCTGCGAACAAGCCAATCGGGAAAGAGTGGAACGACTTATCGTGTTCAACTTTTCGCTTGGAGGTTTTGGAGTTGGCCATTTCTCTGCATTTTCTTGCATCTAGGAAAATGCAATCTAGTTTTCACTAGCTTTTTAATGTTTTGAAACTGGGTTTTCCCAACGTGTTTGCTCAGTTGACATTAAAGACGTAATTAAGTTAAAATCTGGATTTACTCAGAAAAATCAATAGACTTGAAGAAGGCCCGGAAGCTCAGTTCAGCTGCTGAAGTTTTAGCTCCAGCCAACTTTTCTGCAGGCTCAGTTCTTGATTTCCCTGTTAAAAATCCACACTTTACATGTTTTTGGCCTAAGAATTGCCTCATTGGC